TCACACTTTTGAGTGTTGACATCACGAAAACCTCGCTGTGCGCGGTGTTTTCGGCCTTTCAAGCACGCGAAAAAGAAGACCCAAAATCGTGGTACGCCGAATCTCGCAAAGTGCCACGCCTGCCATGGTTTTCACAAACCTAGGTCTGATAATAGTATTTTTCCAGGCCTCGTTTTAAGTCTTAAAACGCGCTGCCGCTGTGGCGAAACGCATATTTGCCCAAAAAACTCGCGACAGATTCCGACACGTGCGGTAGTAGTAGTAGTAGTAGTAGTAGTAGTAGTAGTAGTAGTAGTAGTAGTGCTAGCAGCAGCAGCAGCAGCAGCAGCAGCAGCAGGTTTGGCAGTGACAGTAGCATGTTGTGCTGTCGCTTGTGTGCTCGTTGGCAACACCTTCGCCGGCAACCGCGAACAGTCTTTTTCGAAACTTGCCCTTCCAGCTCAGTAGAACCACCGTAAAACTCCTCCGTTAGGTCGACTCATGAGTTTAAGGCTTGAAGGCATCGGTTTTGTCTCCAATGATGGGCTAGACTCGGCTAGACCTCCTTGAGACTGTGGCAACAACCAGCATCAACAAATAAAATCGACACGTTGTCGATAGGGCTTTGAATGGTCCAGGGTTTCGGCTCTTCGCCTTTTTGGCTTCCTTGCTGCAAATGTGGAGTCTTGAACACGATCCTTCTAATCGCAGGCGCTTGCTGGGTATCCACGCGCTGTACATGAGAGGCCTGTGATCCGAGATGAGAATCTCACGAAGCCTCCAAACTCTACTCTCTATCAACGTAGAAGCCCTAGGGTGAGCCCTGCCTCAATCCAGAAGAGAGCGAATTTCTACCCAGTTCTACCACAAGAAGCCTCGTTTGAGAAACCCAGGTAGAACGTAGACGAAAACTGTGACAATGTCTGCATACGCTCGCGCACGGCAGCGAGAAGCCCACTCGGAGGGAGTCTTTCCCAGCCTGCGCATCGAAGAGGCTCGGGGGCTTTGGAGTTTTAGTCGAAGGCATTAGGGTTTATGGGTGAAGGGCAACGATAGAAGCAATGCAACTCCTCCACGCGTAGGTCGGCTACTACAGATGCACTGCCATGCTTTGACGGCTTGAGGGTTTGAAGACCCGGATTTCGGATGACGGTGCGGGTTTAAGATTTAGCGAGTTTGGGATGCCGACTGTCTGGGGTCAAGGCAGAAAACCTCTCTGTCTCGAGGTCGGATGCTTCCAGGGGAACTGTTGGACTTAGGGCCTTGGTGGAGCTTCAGGGTTGGGCTCGTCTTGAAGCAACGGCGGCCATTCCTTCAGGATACTTGCGGCTTCCACACAGTTCTGACCCGAGCCAATGGGGGGCCTGGGATAGTAGGTAAGACTGCCAAGAAGCACCTCTTTTTGGGATCGGGATCGTTTATAGCCGCATGTTCACAGGAAGCTTGGAGTTCATCGGCCTCATGTTTGCCGCCGGTGAGGGGCAGGGGGCACTGGAGCTTCCACGCACAGTCAAGACATTGGTGATGCAACCTGATTCACCGGTTTTCGACGCGATGTCGACATATTCGACGCTGCTGCTAACGGTAGGTGGAAGCTGCTGGTGACGGTGGGACCGTGATGATGGAAGAACCAAATGCGGATGGTACTCACAATGTTGATAAGGACTGCGGCATAGTCACCGTGGTGACGGCTGTGATGACGTTGGCTTTTGGCCTTCGCAATGTTTTGGTGCATTCCCTGATATCGCTTTCGTTTCTGAGATTGCGCCTTCACGTTGGGAAACGAGGGTGGTGGGTGTGTTGCCTGGCTCGTTTTGGTGCTCCAGTCCAAGAGGCGGCCTTTAGAATAAGAATTGGGTATTGGAGTGTATTTTCGATTGTACAGGGCCTACAAGTAAAAAATATTGCCAGTTGAGCCCAAAACCGCAAGAATGGCACATAATATAGGGGCCTTAATAATCAGAATAGGGTTTTGGGTATATTATTACAGTTATAATAAGGAGCCCCCAAAATATTGGTAATTGTTTAGGCCCTATATTAGCCACCACTCCCTCTCAGCCGGCCTCGATGAGCCATGGTGCGGGCGGCTCTTCCGGAGCTGCCGTCCTTGGTTTCATATATGGTTTGGCTGCTTTCGGCTCGCTTCAGGCTCAAGGTTTAGCATTGGGCGTTAAGTGCTGAGTGGCTCCGGCCTTTAGGCACAGACCCGAACCTGCACCTCAGAAATTGTTCAGCTCTGCAGGGGATGACATTGCTACTCCTGGAGGCACCTATGTATGTTGATCGCAGCCGAAAAACTCGGAGAAACCAAAGCTCGGACAACCCGATGACATGATTCGTCCATCTCATTGAGCACTCTGCCCTCCACAGCTCACCGACCTCGGACCTTCCACAGCAAGCACCTTTGCCCCAAAAGCCCAAGCAAGAATCACAACGTTGCCCAAACCCCAGCAGGTTAGAGACGATGAGGGCCTGGGTTTTGGGCAGTCAAAACGCACTGGACTGAGACACGGCGCCAAATAGACCCCCCAGACCTACCGGCATCCCCAGCCCTTGGCCCCTGTTATAAATAAAGTACACTTTTCCCATCAAAGTCTCCAGTAGAGCAAACAAAGTAGAACGAATCCAAAGCTTCTTTCACCCTGACCTGAATCCGGACGAACAGCCTGGGGCCCTAAACCCTAAACCTGAAAGAACACATCCTTGCAACCCTGTATGAACTCCAATACCACCCGACTCTAAAACACGGATCCTACACGCCCATGCACACCAAGTACACCCATCACCTGCGCTTAAGTCCAAAACCCAACACCCTCAAACCAAATTCCTGGGTCGCCAGCGGTGAGACGATGTCGTCCAAGGGAGGGGACCAGTCGCTCCAGCCCTCTTTGGGTTTTTCGGGTGTAGGGCTGGGGGGTTCTTAGGGGTCCCGTTTCGGGTGTAGGTATACCGACTCAAAGAAAGCCACTGAATAAGAGACGAGTTGATGATGGCGAGTTCTTCCCGGATCTCGAACTTGCCGGATCTCGAACAATCCCGTTTCGGGTTGCAGTTACTTCAAGGTTCGAGCTCTTTTGAAGAAGTGTTCAGATGGGAGAAATCCCACATGTCTTGAAGGCTCCAAACTCCCCCTTAGCGCAAGCACCGAGCAAGTTACGTGGGACGGTTGGAACGGCTCCATCTGGGAGTTTCAGAATATAACTACTACACCAAATCTAATCCATCAATTTAGACGGCCTGTAATATAATCAGAACCCTTAAAAATGGCAGTTGTCGATCATGTTGCTGAAGCGGTCTGCACGTCCAAATTGCAACTGGCCAACTCCAGCGGACCGTGCCTCTTTGGAGCGAAAACAAGTTGCGGCAACCCATGCCTGCCCAAGATCCTGGGCATTGCGAGCCTCGCCGAAGTCATCACTGGAATCCTCTCCCCGGATGGGTGCACATTCTGAGGCACACCGTCATCCGTGACGACGCGGGCTGCGGCTGAGTGAGTTCGCTGAAAGACTCGACAGCACCAAAGACCCCCAAACTCTAGACCGCTCAAGATTAAAACTTACTAAATCCTTAGGATGTCAAGACAGTCTAAATTATAGGGTCTAAGGTTGAGAATGCTTGGTTCGAGGCTTCTCGGGTTAAGGGCCACAGCACAAAACGATGAAGCTGACACCGCCTGGCTACAGCAGACGAAATCTAGTTTTGATAATCCTCAAGCCGTGTGGAACCGTACGGATGCGGGTCGCCTGAACGGCGTAAAGGTAAGGATCATGCTATAGTTTGGCTTCGGGCGGATAGTAGTTCCACGCATAATCACCACAAACTCTCCAGCTCAAGACGAGCTTGGGGGTCTGGAGAAATCCCTTAAACCTTACGCCTAAAGCCTCAACCCTAAAACCTGTAAAAACCGCCAGGCCCTTTCACACCATGGCCTCCAGGTTGTGCGCTCTGACGGCAACCGCATAGGGTAGGCCACCCAGGAGACCCTCGAAGATGTGGTCCTGACATCTGCGATATTTCAGATTTCAAGGTCCAAAGCATTGACCAAGGCTGGCTGTACATGTCTTCCGGGGTGACATCACACTCATAATTGTTGATTCTGCTTTCAGGATGTGACTTCAGGGTTCAGGGCTTGGTCTTGAACTCAGGAACAAGTCCCGTAACTCTAATCGAACCCACCCCGAATACCCGAAACCCTGAATGCTCTGCACCCTAAAATTGCAACGCCTGCATGGCTTGGGCTTTGGAATCAGAGAGTCTTTGGCTGAAGAGCTTCAAGTGTAGAAGGCGTGCTAATCGACTATCGAGCTCAGACCCTTAAAAGCCCTAAGCTGCTTAAGCCCTACACTACACACTCTAAGACTCTAAGACTGTGACACCTTCGAACCAGCTCCAAGGCCTGGAAAGGAGCAAAACATCACCGGGCACCACACCGGAAGCGCTGGATTGGCGAACTCCTCCACCTTCGATGGCAGGGTGTAGGGTTGAGCATAGGAATCTTGTGCCTTTAGGGCTTTCGGTGTGAGAGCTCCCTGAATCTTAACTTCCCCAAACCCTGAAGTTAAGGGTTTTGGAATTGTAGGGTTTGGGGTTTAAGATTGTGGAACCACGGAGGTTCCGCAAGCTTGCGAGCACTGCCTTGATCTCGTGAAAGTCCTTCACCGGAAGGTCGTCCAACAGCTGCTTCTGCTCCTCTCATAGGCTTTGGGTTTGGGGTTTAGGGCTTACCGGAACCCTAAATAACTTAAATTTTTAGGGCTAAGGACCTCACCATATGTCCTTAAAAGGTAAGTTTGATAGAGTCCATGTAGGGTTTGGTGACACCGGCAAATTATGGACACCGCTGGGGTACGTAAGAGGGAAAAAGAGCACTGCACAGGTAACGGTAGGGTTTACAGTCTCAGGCCTAGTATCTTGGGCTCAGGTTCGGGACTGCGGGACTTCTGCTGAGTTCTTGAACCAGAGGTTTTCCAACCGAAGGAAAGGGCCTTTCCTGATTAAAGAGGGCTTTCGGTACTTCAAAGTAGAGTGGTTTGGGGGCTGAAGAGGAAAGTGCTACCAAATATTATCGGCGTGGCACCCGCCATGCCCAAGCTGGATATCAACAAGCTTGTTGTCGGATATGAACAAACAACATTGGGCATGAAACCCTAACCAAACCCTGAAACCTAAAAACCTGAAACCCTAAAATCTGCAACCGTTAGACTTTCTCAAAAGCCTCAAAACGGCACAAAAGCCCCATTTAGTACGTATGGTCGTTGGGCCCAAAACCTCAAAGCATGAGTCCTTAGAGCCTTGGAGTGAAAGATATGAAAGTATCCCCAGGAGCACCCGAAGTCAAGAGTCTTTGCTGTTTACTATGTTACTATGTCTCTGCATCTCATAAACAGCAGGATGAACCTTTAGTCTTAGCTGTTAACTTGTTCGTTCGCAGACAACAATCGGCAAAAGTCTCCACCAACCCCGAATGCTTTGCTAGCCCAAGCACTGGGTCCGAAATAAACCTCGCACAGGCGCTACGCAAACCTACATGCCCAAAGTCTGATGCCATACTCCAAACCACGGAACATCAGCTTTACGGAGTTTTCAGACCTCCATGGTATTTGCGGAAAGTCCTCACTGGTGGAACACTCGTTCAGGTCGTCCACGAGCTTCTTGACTTTTGCAACCTAGGAAGCTCCAGTCGGAAGACCACAAGACCCCAAGACCCCTGAATTAAGGACTACGCCTGGAATCATGATGGGGACCCTTTTCCAATTTGATGAGTCTTATGTTGGTCGGAACCCCAAATCCCAAAGACCGAACTCCAAACACTACACTCACGAGCAAGCTCCCGCTTCGATTCAAACCTCAGTCTCTGGTCTCGCAGGTGCAGCTGCTTCTAAGGGTTTAAGTTTTTGAACTTCTAAGTTTTGAGGAAAGGTTCAGGACGACTTCTTAATTGTTATGAGCCCAGGCCCACCCCGCGACACTGAATAATGCACTTCTGTTCTCTGGCTTTCCAAAAGTCTGTCATTGCTAAAATAGGAGTAGGAGTAGTAAAGGTAGTCGTCGTAGTAGTAGTAGTAGTAGTAGTAGTAGTACTAGTACTAGTACTAGTAGTAGTAGTAGTAGTAGTAGTAGTAGTAGTACTAGTAGTAGTAGTAGTAGTACTAGTAGTAGTAGTCGTAGTCGTAGTAGTA